ATCTAAAAACACTTTTGTTGAATAATAGTTATTAAAAGTACTCTTGATTCTAATTCATATACAGAGACATTTAAAAATATTTAAATTTAATTTTAAACTAAATAAAAATAAATTAAAAAATATGGGAGTTTGAAATTTTTTTTGAAAATGTTTTCATTAAAATATATTAATTAAGTAAAAATTAAGGATAACAAAATGGTTCAATCCACTTAAAGCAGGACATAAAAATATTCTCAAAAAAATAATTAGATATTGATTTTAAATTTATATAATAAAATATTCAATAATTTTTAAATTGTTTTAAAATTTACAAATTTCATTTATATATTAAAAACTTTTTATTTGATCAGTTAGATAGTTAAAATTTGTTGTATAACATGCATTATTGAATAGAGTCAATGAATTTCTCTTCACACACACTTACATATGCACACACGCATACACACGCGCGCACACTCGTAGACACACACGCACAACTGTAAGGAAAAAAAAAAGTTATGCCTAATTTGATGGAAACAGTGGCTGCTTTTTCTCTAAAATTATTGATAGCACTTTACATTTGCATTATTTAAGCACGAAACTAACACAAGAACTTTTTCCCGTTCTCAAGGATAAGATTTTCATTTCCTTTTCCCTCGTAATATTTTCGTGCTTGTCTTCATGGACATACATTGAACTCACGATGCCTCACAAATTATGTGCAATTTACTCAGTGCTGGTTTAGTGGAAAGCACCCACTAAATTGAATCCTCACAAAATTTCTGTCTATATACAATAAATGATGGTAAAGGACCCAAAAGGATGTTATCTTCACCTTTCTTTTTAACTCTAATGCGTAGTGATTTGGAAGTGGTTGTTTTGTTTCGCCTTCAATTATTTTTGTATCTTTATGATTCTACTTTAAAGTTGTTCAGTATGGTGTCGTTTTGGTGCTTCTTATTAGGGCATTTTAATAGCAACACTCAACGTCTTTCACGTTACTTGCCTTCCTTGCTATTCTCATTTCCTAATGTAATATATTCCAATACTCAACACTTTTCTTCTTCGTTCTACGCAAACGTAGCCACCTTTATTTTATTTTGTCCAATTGGTCTCTTCTACTTTAGTCTCATTTATAGCCTTTTACAGAATATTATTATTAATAATGTTACATTCATAATATATATGCGCAGAGTCAGTATCTCTCGAGAATGACCATCGATCCAATACAGGAAAAAACAACTAGGTGTGTATGGTTTAAACTTTATGAGCTAATACTATTCTAATGACAGACACGCTGTCTGTGGAGAAAAATAGTACTATTTTACAATTATGGCATCTCTCATGATCATTCTGAAAAGGCAAGCTGTCTAGATAAGGTACAACATCAAATAATGGATTCAATTTCACATTTATTTATTAGTTTTTCTTAATTTTTAAATTAACACAGAGAAGTTTCTAGAAAATTATTTGTTAGAGTTAATTAAGAAGGAAACAAAAGGTCTATTCTTTAGTTCACAATTTGATATGATTGATTATATCATATTTATATGGCATATGTATTGCATGTGATGTATGCACACTTCCCTCCCATACATAGCCCACAGATCGAATGTTGATGTGCATTTGTAAAAATTAACCTAAATTTATGGGGGAAATGCATATTTTTGTTCCACTTAGAAAATGTAACTTATATTTGAATATAATTTGTCTAGACTCGCTGATGATGCGAGAATATTTTGTTGTTTGAAGTATGGACAATATGTACATAATTATTATTATTCTTTTTTACCATGTAGTGTAAAACAGCTGCAAATTCAACAAAAAGGAATAATTTGTTATAAGTAATAATCGATACATATAAAATCACATGGAATTATAACTTTTTATATCCTCATAATATTAAAATTTTGTTGCGACATACTTTGACGTTTAATGTAATTTAAAATCACGTCTTATAAAATAATGTAAAATTACCCTTCAATAAAACGCGTAATTGCAACGAAAGAAAGCTTCACTAAATAGGCAGTGAGTTGATAGCAAGGTAAAAAAAATAATAAAACACTTTATTTATTTATTTTTTTTATCTATCAGAATTACTAGAATTCAAAAAAGATATTTATTTTTGGGAGCACCTAAAAGACAGTGTGCATATATCAAATGATTCGTTAAATAAAAAGTTGATCATCAAAAGCTTTCAGCCAAAAACAAAAGCACCCAATTCCACGCATGAAAAGAAAAAAACTTGAATTTAAGCATTTTGCCACAATATTGCGGAAATAAATTTCACTCGCACTAAACTTTAATTCAACAAATAAAAAAAAGCTACAAAAAGGTTTTCTGGTCTTATTCTCAAAACTATATGCCACCAGTAAACTACATAATTGAAATTATAATAGTTACAAGACATAAGCCATTTGCTATTGTGTAAGTGGAAAAATATCCACAATTGAAAACATTAGATACTTGAATTTTTCAACAAAATGAATGGATGTCCATAAAATAGTAGAACCGAAAAACACTCTTAATACTATCAAATAGAGTGCTAATGACATACTCCGATAGAGACTCACCTAAAGGATTACTGCACAGGCTTGAACCGCAAACAATTCCACCCTTGTATATATGTATTATAAATGGAAGAAGTCTCACATTGATTAGTATTATCTTTAAAGAATAATTTATATATCAAATTGTGATATAGTCATATACAAGGAGGCTAACAAAAATGGAAAAGCTCTTGCACATATACATGAGTCAAGTAGGCTTATCTTTAGTGCAACCTGGAAAGCGGAACCTTTCAGAAATCATGAATGATTTGATTAATATTACATGTTACATTAGGACATATAAATTCTTCTTATATAATTAATTACAAAGCTTGGACTTAATTTATTTTCATGATAAAAATATAAAAAAATGTGATATATGTGCTGAATCAAAGTTAACTAACACACCTTGTCCTTCTATTCAATGTGATTCTCAATTGATTGGTTTAATTTATTCTAATCTTGTTGATTTAAAATAAACTATGTCTAGAGGTGGTAAAAATTACTTTATTAACTTTTATAAATGATTATTTAAGATATATTAAAGTTTATCTTCTTAGACATAAAGACGAAGCTTTTAATATATGTTTTTATCTTATAAAGCTAGCTAGAGTAGAAAAATCAACTTAATAGAAAGATTAAAAGGATAAGACCAAATACGGGAAGTGAGTACACTTTGTTTAATGTTTTATGTGTAAAAGAAGGTATTATCTATGAAGTAACTCTACCTAATTCACTAGAGTCCGAGAGTAATGGAATAGCTGAAAGGATTAAGATGAATGTTTTGCTTATTAAGATGAATCTTTGGGGAGAAGCTAGTTTAATTATTTGTTTCTTCCATAGTAGAATCTTTTATAGGAAAATCAGTAATACACCTTATGAGGAAATTTGGTAAGAGAGAATTTTTTTCATACCTAGGAATCATCATTCCTAAGAATTACAAGTATTGGGAACCATGATTCTTGGGAATAGTTAAAATATATTTGGTTACTCATAAAAGTTCTTGTGAATATTCATATAAGATTATTAAGAATTAAAGATTTCAAGTATGGTTATACTACTGTATTCTTGAGAATATAAATATATATAATTTTTTTTACAAAAATAGCCTTTGTTAAAATATACTTATTAGATATATTTATTTACTCATATCTTATTACAAATATGACATTAAAATATTTTTAAAAAATTGAAAATTCATAGTTAAAATCATCTAAATACATAATTCTACAAAAAATAAACAGAAAAAAAATGTTACATAGTAGTTAAGAAGAATAAAAACATATATTTCATTTTATTCAAATAAATAAATTAAAAAATGTCAACAAATACTATTAAACTATAGAAACAAAATAAACTTTAATAATATTAATAAAATTGATATGGTTAAGAAATTATGAAATACAAGAGAGAGAGGAATAAAGATATGGGAGGGAGGGAGAGAGGGGGAGTGAGAGAGATAGGGAGAAAGAGGAATAAAAAGAGAAAGAGAGAAAGCAAGAAAGAGAGAGAAGAAGAGAGGGAGAGGAAGAGAGGGGGAGTGAGAGTGAGAGAGAGGGAGAAAGAGAAATAGAATGGGAGAGAGAAAGAAAGAGAGAGAGGGGGGTAGAGGGAGAGAGGAAGAGAAATGGAATGAGAGTGAGAGAAAGAGAGAGAAAGAGAGATTTTATGTTTTACCCCCCTCATGAAAATATTTTTGTGAAAAAGTAGGATAAAAATAATTTTTAGAAAATTACATTCTTAAATATTTTTTTTTTAAATAGTTACCAAACATAAAAATTCTCACTTTAAGATTTCTAAGAATGTAAAAATATTCTGCATACCAAATGTTTTTTTATGAGTTGTCAAAATTGTATTTTCTAAACTTGAATTATTTTAGGATAGTATTTAGCATACCTCGAAAATTTTATCTGTTCTCAACTAATTCATACAGGTGCCAAGGAATCTTTTTCAAAAGGTAGAAGCTAACAGAGCAACAGAGTTAATCTATGTTTTTGTTACAATACTGCAATTTGCTGTGAGTGGATCTATGTATTTGCTATTCTTTGACATTACAGTATTGAAATGTGGATTCAATGATACTATTGTACTAATCTCAATTGGCACTTCTTGTGCACAATTGACTTTATTTAATAAAATTATTGCCTTCCCAAAAAAAAAAAAGGGTTGCCCATGAAGCAAGAAAAGTGGCATTAGAAAAGTGTCATGTGGTATAAAATTTATAGCCAACGATTTTCTATACTCACCCGCTACTATTTCATAATTATTATGCGTTAGCAAAAACATGTAATATAGTTGATAGATAACATATGATTAAAATTCGATTAAGTTAATTCTTAAAAAAAGAAGTTTATACGATAGTTACACTTACACATGTATAATAAGACCGACATTAATTATAAACGTACGCAATTGCATCTAACAAGTTTTCTCCTTAAAAAAAAGGTTTATAGGATAGTTAGAGAATTCCAATTGGAAAGGAGAGAAGAGTGACAATACTTTTTATTAATTGGTGTAATATGACCATGGATAACATAGGTACATAAAATACACCCATCAGCACTATGACAACTAACGTAACACGGCTAAATTGTCTAATAACAGTACTAAGCGGTGCATGCATTGGCCCACAGCACATTAAACTAAAACTTTTCGTGTCAATTAATTCCATTTATGTCAATGGACCCTTCAGAAATGTGACACAGAGTCTCTTCCAAGCCTCCGTATCTGGCTCCCACATTGCATTAATCCTCTCCCTTGCTTCCACAGCTATAGCGTCCTGCACACATTCAAAACATCCACTCTTAATTACTATAGATATTTATTCAACACTTTCCAACCACTTTACTTGGCCAATTTAAAAACATGTCTCGTGACTTATAAAATTGAGATTCAACAGTTTGTGAGCGCGTACTATGATGTAATCTCGTTGAATCAGACGGTCAATAAGGTGCAAAAGAATGTCTTTGGAGTACTCAGGGTGACCTTGGATTCCCATAATGTGATCTCCATATGTGAACATTTCTATTCCAGTCTTATCCGAATAAGCAATCACTTCTGCCTTCACTGGTAGCTCTCGGACCTATTTTCATACAAAGGAAAAATCATCACTTAACTATAAATTATTTATGATCACAGAAATCAAACTCAGAACAAAACTAAGACAATGACAATATTTTTTTATGGAAAAATACACACCTCATCCCTGTGGCATTCAATAATAGGAAGCCTTGAAGGAAGATCGAGGGAAGACAAAGCGAATGGCAAAGATGGTGAAAATGTTATGGTTCTGACACCAATGTCCCAACCAGTTGGAGAAGGAATCACTTTCCCTCCCAATGCACGCCCAAGTATCTGATCAAATTAAACATTATCCTTTACTTATACATTGCCAAGTGCCAACAATATGTCATTGATCACAAATCCACATACATAAAGCAAACTGCATTTTATATATTTAGATTATCAAATTAAACACGATCCTTAACTATTATTTATTTTGCCATGCATGTGCCAACATTGTGTCATTGATCACAAATCCACACACAAAAAGCAACTTTCATTTTATATGTTTATGCAAACACACACACCAGGAACTACTTAATTATTATTTGATGGCATATCATATCATAAAGTTAAGTGATGCATGTGATAATCACATCATAGTGGTCCACACCACGCAGCCGAGTGAGACACTTTTCAGAGGTTTTCATGTTGCGGTAGGTGGTAAAACATTCTTGAAGAGAAATAATAATAATAATTTTCTGGAGTTTCTGGCAAACATTAATAAGAAGGGGATAAATAGAAACCGACAACCACAGTATCGTCTTCACTTACCTCTTTCTTGTTTTGGTCAACTAAAGATCAACTTTTTTATCAATTGGGTCAATTTTTACTTTTTAGTATTCAACAATCCTACGGGGCATGTCAGCAGGTTTAATGCAAGACAAGTGTTGTAAAGATCAGATCTTTTGACACTATTCAGATACATATGTGTACACTACCCCACTACCCCTTAAAATAAGAGATAGGAAGAAAAAAATGTAACAATATACGAAAAAGTACCTGAAATATAATATTTTAAGAAAAATTCTAACATAAAATAATAAAAAATATGGTAGAAGCATTAATTTTTATTATTAAATTTAATAATATAATATAATAATAAACTTATTATCCACAAGCGAAGGCAGAAAAGTGGCATTCTTGACATAAAAAAACATGATACCGGAAACTCAATCCAGATTGAACTTCCATGTCCTTAGCCTAACAGGGGAATTGGAGCAGGGCTGGTTACCGCGGTTGAAGGCAATGATATTGGAGGATTGACAGAGTGAAGCCTGAGCTCTATTTAATAGAGGGATTATTTTGTAATTTCAAACAAGTTACAATTAAAACTCTTTATTATCGGTCAAAAATCACCTCACCCAACCTAACTTCTTTACTTTAGAAGCGTTCATATTTTAAATATGAAATTAGAAAAATCATCAGGTCATCGAAAGTCCAAGTCCAGTGCCTTATGTTATATATGAGTCATGTCATTACCATGGTTTCCAAACTAGATTTTTTTCATAGAAAACATGGATAAGTGGAAATCTAACTAATCGAATATTTAAATATCTGCGTAAGTACTATTCCTGCACAAATGCCAAAGGGTGAGTGTATACGTACAGTTGAAATTCGTACGTTTCAATGTCCCCTGTGTTTTCGTTATAGTGGACCACCTGTACAGTGGATTTAACGAGATGACAGCACAATAATGGAGGATAAAAATATCTCTCCATTGCTTCACATCCACAAATTCGTTCTAAGCACCGACATTCTAATTAATCTTTCTTCATTGAAGAAAAAAGCATAGTTTAAAAACGGTACGGATGAATGATTATTCCATGTATTATTGGATAAATAAGAAGAAAAAAGGTAAAATATTTAAGTAAATTCTAAAAATAGTTATGTAATGTTGATTGGAGATAGTAAAAATGTAGGTACCTGGTGTCCGAAGCAAATGCCGAGGATTTTTTTGTTGATGGAATCCAAGTTGCGAAGCAAGGTGAGAAGGTCGTGAATCCATTTGTCGTTACCATGTGCGTCTCTGCAACTGCCAGTGATGACATAGCCTTGATAGAGAAGCAAGTCATGATCCTGCGGAAACTCTCCACGCAGCACCTTGTACACGTCCCAGGTTTCTCCTTCCTCCGCCAGCATTCTCATGAACACCTCAAAATACCCTCCGTACGCTTTCTTCATGTACTCCGATTCCTCTGCGCACATCAACACCGCGAACCTCTTCTTCTCCATTGGGCCCCAATATTCTTCTCTCTCTCTCTCTCTCTCTCTCTCTCTAACACACACAACTAGTGCACGAATAACAGGTGCGCTGAGTGTGTGTTTTTGTTTGTTTGTCGAACTACAACCTTAAGGGGCTTTATAAAGGGTTCAGGTTGCGTCACCTTTGGTTATAGTAATAACATGCCCTCACTCAAAACAACAATTTAGAGTTTGAAGAATCAAAATAAATTTATCTTAAAGAGACTAAAAATATATTTAAATATTTTATATATATATAATTTAATTTATCCTAAAGTTGGAGTTTGCCAAAATTAGCGGAAGAAGATGTTTAGTTTCATTGAGATGAATGTGGCCGGAATGTAGTCTATAGGGTAAAATCAGTAATGAATCTGTTCATGAAAGAGATGTAAATGAATCAAATGGAGGTGCATCCTATTCCATGCTTATGTAAAATTCCACGGTAATAATAATGCGATTACCATCTGTTTCAACTTTCCAAAGTTTCAAATTTTCCGTTTTGCCTTTTTGTTTAGACTTTTTTTTTTTTCAATTATCCGGGTTTCTTAAAAAACTGTTCACATTTATATATAGCTTTTTAAAATTTATAATACTAATAATAATAATTATTATTATTATTTGTCAATTATATTCTTATAAGTATTTTTTAATTTGTGTAATCCACATGTTAAATCTTTATTATATATAATTAAAATTTATAATAAATTATATATATATATAAATAAATATTAAATTAAAAAATTTTATGAATAAAT